TTTGCCTATACATAAGGTATACATGCTCAATATATATAAGCAGTGCTAAGTTCTGGTTTTGCAACATGAAAACAGAAAATATCTGGTTGCTTTCTAAACATCTTGAAGACTCCTTTTCTCTTTCTAAACACTTGTGGTCATGACTGATCACAAAATTGAAATAGAAACAAAAATTTAGCCCTAGAGAAACTCTCCCATTCTTGATTCTTCCAATAAGAAAAATGTATATTTCTCTTATCCCCTGCAAAATTAGTAAATTGTCAAGGAGCACTATTAAGGTACATTTCTGTTTACCAGCATAGGGACAAACATTTCAAAATTTTGATAGACATAAGAGAGCTACTTGAATCTTTATGTTCTGAAAGACAGCTAGTTCTTCTAGTTCAAGTACCCTAAAATAGGAATTGCCAAAAGGATTACATTGCTTAAGGAAAACAAGGACTGGATCATTTAAGTTAGGGTGGATGGCATCCAGAATAGTGAAGAAGAAATGAGAACACTGACAGGTGCATACAAAGCTACTTGGAAGTATATCCAGTTATTTTAGCAGCATTTATTATCTGTATAACTTATCATCTACATAAATATTGTCCCGAACATTTAATGCATATCTGGTTTATTCCCCATATTAATTCTCCACTTGAGTCTGTATCAGAATAAAACTTGTTTTTTTTCAAACCTATAATTGCCATTCAGGTGCTGGGTTATCAGTGGACGACTACTTGTAGTTATTGTTACTTCCATTTGCAGACAGGAAAAATTCAATCTGTCAGAAAGCATTTTACACCTTATTCCTACTGATAGAGTAATTAATTTTCTCCAAATGTAGTGAATTATTCAAATTATCTCTCATTTTCCTCTGTCAATCTCTGCATTTATGTCAGTGTGCATTTCCTAAAATTCCTTCCAAACATAACGAAACAAAAATTCATGCCACAGATGTAAAAATATACTGTCTTTCAGATGAAGAGTTATTTTCAGTAACTTTGGGCTATATGGGTTTTTTTCTTTGCTGTGGGTACAAGGGAAGACCTGTTTCAGCTCAGAGACAATCAAAATCGCCGTTAGATCAGCATGTAATATCAACAACGTAAATCCCCTGACTCATGTAGAGCTTGTTTAAGCAGGGATCAGTTGTTTCCCCTGTGTGCCTTAAAAGGCTTGCAGTTCTATAAATTTACTGAGTAGCTGTGTGATCCTTGGTGGATAAATTACCAACTATCAAATGCAGTTGGCAGCATCGAGAAGATCCCAAGTAAGGAGAGTTCCGTGATTGTATCAGCTCAAATTATGTTGTAGCTTCTGTGACTTGTACAGCCCAAACTATATCCTAATAATCATTAGTTGTATCAATTGATCCTCAGACAGGGGGGAAAAATCCCCAACATCTTATGCTTGCTTCACAATCACGTTCTTTTGTGTGGCTAGGGGACTTGTCAACTGTGTTACAATAATTTTGTGATACTTGGTATCACCTTGCTCTTTATGCCCTGGGAAGGGACACATATAATAAGTAACAGACACTGGTGGAAAAAATGTTGCTACACTTCGCTGGGGAAGGTCTATGGAGTGGGAGGGGTAGATGCATATGAACACAGACATTTTAAGATAAGTTATTTCTTGTTTTGCTCTTCATGTTATGAACAGGATACTTTATGCCTACAAAAGAAACAGTCATTCCTGCCTGAGGAAACCAATTTCATTCCTGACAATATCAAGTTTAAGTAGTATAACCAATTAATATGGATCCTTTAATAATTATTTTATTGTGCTGATGCACCTGATTGATTGTCAAAATCAATTGCTCTTCTTTCAAATAAAAAACTGTTGTCAAAGTGACCATTCAAAATGACAACCGACCCTGTAAAACATGGGGATTTATATCATGTTTATAGGTATATTGTTATGTGGACAAAAATCAGTGCTTGTAATATTTGTCTCTATGATTCTTTGCAAACTTTTGTCACACAAACATGGAGTTGTAAAATAATTTTTGGATCACTTGCAATACAAAGTGTTTGGTACATAGAAGGGTGGAAGAATAACACGAAACATATTTTCTCTGTCCTTGTCTGTAACAGTCATGGCTAGATTAGTTGTGATCTCTGCAGCCTAAAAGGACTGAAGATTAGCTATTACAAGAAATTCTGTATGGACTGAGGTACTGGACAGATAATTCGTCATTATGTTGCATGTCTCTGCATTTGCTTTCCTATTGCCTTGTTCAGCTGCCGTTGTGCTAACAATATGACAAGGGCTTTTGGTATTTTTATTTTTCCTTGCTTCCACATATTTTATTATCTCAGCATTAATTTGTATTACAGCAGACAGGAACTGCACTTCAAATGTGTTCAACAAACTCACAAGGAGGTATCACTGTTCCAGGGAAAGAGGAACTTCCTAAGCTGCTGTATTGAATAAGAGAACACAAAGACAAAAAAGTGTATGTGTTAAATCAGGTGGAAATTTCCTCTAGCCTGGTATTCCACCTCTCATACCAGGTGTCCAGATAAAGCATAATAACAGACCAAGCATGTTGTAATACTTCCCTAGAATAGTCACCTCATTTTCCAATCTCTTGCACCCAATATTTTTTTTTTTTATTTAATGAATCCCAGTGGATATTTCCTTCTAGAAATCCACCTTAAATACAAATAGTAAAAAGAAATATCTTTTAATTTGTTTTTAATATGGCCATTGCTAGTTTTCCTTGATTTCTCTACTCTGCAACTCAAGGTTCATTTCAGGTAAGTGCCTTCAAAAAATTCCTGGCTGCAGAAAGTAACTCACTGGAATTTCTTCCTGTATTTTAGTCATAATTTCCAGAATGTTGGAAGAATTCAAACGTTACTTATAGACAAAGACTGGTGTACCAGAAGCCTTTGATTTCAAGTCTTGCTGAGGAACAAAAGAAAAAGCTCATGAATCATGATGCTTTTTATCAGTTCACAAGCCTACAAGTTCAGAGACATTCGGATGCCAGAGATAAAACAAATGTCATGATTGTTCACTTAAATATTTTATGATCAGCTCTGAGGTTCATATCCCTGTTTTCCTAGAACAGGAGAAAAAGGTATAGTGCGTATTTGGCATGCCAATTTTGGTCACAGTTTGACCACTCCTCTCTTTCATAAGGACAGAATGCTCTTAAAGACTATTTTTTTCCTTCTGTACATTCTGGGAAACCCTCTTTAGAAACATCGATGGGTGACAGTTTGGTATTTAAAGGATATATGCTCTTTACTTTCTGAACCTCAGCTCATCTTTCAGAGGAGTGAATTAGAGAAGAATCTTTTCACTTTCTCTGTCTCAGCTGATATAAGATATATGATAAAGCAATTTTGGGAACTGGGCAGCTAGTATAATTGATCATACAGTCATAGCCATTGAGTCTTACAATATCTGGAGACGGCTATTGTTTTTTCTTTGCTATGTTGTTATTTGTCAAAATATCTGGACTATTTAAAATAATATAAAATAGCAGGATTTCACTTGCTTCATAGTCAGGTTTCTATACTAGTGAAAATTACTATACTGATGTTCACATTCTACAAGCAAACTGTTTTGTCATCTTCCTGTATTCCTTACATATATGAAAATACTGAGATATTGAAGGCATTACTTGTTTGTGGGTGTTGAATGTTAATATTAACATCAAGCACTCTATGTCTGTGGAGGAAGCTATCAGTCTGAAAAACAGGTTTTACCTCTAACCAAAGATTAATAAAAGAGATAATCACATCTTCTTCACTGAATTCTAGTATTTCTTTTTATTATTGTGAGTTTTCTGACAGACACATAGCATTTTAATATTTTAGGGATGTTGAGACAGACAGTTTCATACGGGAAGAATTTTTAGATTTAGTTGTGTAACCACAGCCACATTCTAGCCAAAGTTTTTAGAAATTGCATATAAATACAGCTACAGAAGTGGATGTATCTTAATTAAGACATTGCATAGAAAAAGGAGTAAAATCATTGTTGATATGCTAACTGTCTTGGGAACTCCCAAAATTCAAGTAGCTCCAAGGGATGGCTAGGAACCTGTTCAGGCATGCTGCTATTTCCCATGGGCAGTTTTGTCTTTAAAAGGTGGGAAACTACCCACTTGGGAACAGACTCAGAAAACATGGATTCTTGGACATTATGCACTGTGATCCCAGAAGAACTTAGACTTTGTTAGCTCTCTAATTCACAGGTTTGGGGTTTTTTTAGTGACATGGCAGTTAGTAAAACAAGGTTTGAATTTTACCAAAGTTTACTAGTGCTCCTGCATTCTGGGTGAATTTCTGCCTATAATGTGTGGCTAAACCAGTTGTTTCAGAAATGTTACCAATATGTATTTATGTTGCACTTCAAAAGAGAACTTGACTGACAGTAACAGAGTCCGATTCTTTCAGGATTAATATATAAGTGGTGGCTTGAGCCTAAGAAAATGAATCTAAATTCCTTTGTGGTCAAAATACATGTTTTTTCTGCCTCAAACATGCATCTGTTGACTTAAACAGCATTCTGTTGACTGGGAGAAGAGCAGAATAACATGTACGATTATTCTCTCAACAGTAGCACCAATTCTTTTCTTTGTATTTTGGTGAGGCAACTACTAGGCCAGGTTGTTGCTCCTCACCTCCCGTAGTACAATTCCACTCCGTTTCAGACTGTCAAGCCAGAGGGCTGCCCTCACTCCTGGTAGATTGACAAGCTATATCCAGGGTGCAGATGGTAGTGACATTTGCTCCAACTGCTTTAGCTGTTCTTTGAGCTCTGTTTTTTTGAAAGGGCAAACATGCTTCTGCACATGGGATTACATATAGTCCTCTTGTATAGACTCCTAAATGGACTATTCTACCTTTAAAAGCTTTTACACTATAACTTCTTGTCATCTCTATTTTGCAGATGTTAATCAGTGAGTGAGTGAGGGAAATTGTGGAAGTGACCTATGATTTTTTTTTTTAGAAACGTATTTTGCAGTAAGTGTCATAAATTACTTTTCCCTTTAGGCTGCTCTGGAGAAAATCATGAAAGAAAATCTGTTGTTAGATCAAGAATATCAAATCATTCAGAACTACTAATTAAAAGGTAAAGAAGACCTCACAGAAATCTATGCCAATAGAATCAGGGTGGAAAATGCCATGAAACATCATCAGCAGGTAAAGTGCTAACATCACTCATTCAGTTCATTTATCTCATCTCTAAAATTCGTTTGATCAATGCAGCTACTTAATAACAATAAAACACTTGCTAGTAATACCTATCACCTGAATTCTTATTTTCTTCTTGGTTACTTCACACTTTTCATAAGTTCTTTTTTTTTTTCTTACTTGCTGTGTATTTTTATCTATCTATCTATCTATCTATCTATCTATCTATCTATCTATCTATCTATCTATCTATATCTATCTATCATCTATCTATCCTACCTGTTTTGGGGTTTTTTTGTTTGTTTGTTTATTTGTACAGCACAGTTCATGTAAGGTATTCAAAATTCATTTTTTATGGATTCCACTTTTACACCTGAAATGTATTTATTTTTATATATAATTAAAATGAACTCCACCGTTACATATAACTGCTCTACAAAACACTTCCTCCTGGAAATTTTTGTGACACCAAGTCAGGCTCTATAAGCCTTTAATATAGAAACCAGTCAAATAAAAATGAAAAAAGGTAAAATCTAGTTTGATGAACATCCATGCCAGATGTGTAGTTGCTGGGTATAACATTTTATTGATAATCAGCTACATTTTAAAAGATAGATTTTATAATTTGTCAGTGCTGTGGAGCACAACTTTCTTGTGTAAATGTAGTCATTGTGTCAGTGCACAACTTTTTGTGTAAATGTAATGACAATTCACAGAAAAAAGTCTTTTCTGTTTCTTTTCTTTGTGTTTATATTCAACTCTCAAAATGCAAGACTGCTTGTGTCATCACGCTCAGAGGCAGGTTCAAATCAAAAATTTCAGGAAAGAATTTTTATTAACTGAGGTCATCTATGCAGGAACCAGGTCCTGGTATATTGATATTTTAGTCCATTTCCTAAAAGTACAGTGTAGAAGTCTTGAAACAAATCAATTAAATGTGAAATTTAGATTATTTGCTAGTACTTTACTCTTATCAATCCATTTTATGTCTTATACCCATACCTTCATTCATTGTTCATTTCCTTGTATGCTACCTCACTTAATCTCCAATTTTAAAATTCAGTGTTCAGTTTATTCCTGCCAAATACAAATAAAATCTTTTCCAAATTTTTCTTTTTAACTCCATAGTTCTTCCACAGTTCAACAACAAAACTGATTTTAAGTCATATATTCTTAGGGATAACCATATTTGGAGAACAAGTTGGAGGCAATGCTATGAGTATTGAAAGATTTTCTTAAAAGGACTGGTTTATAGAAGGAATTTAAAGTATTTTTTTCTGAATGCAGTTTTAGGGCATACTTTTCAAGCCTCTCTACAGAAAAATACATCTATGTTATGTTATTATTGAGACCTTTTATTTATTTGAATGTAAGAATATCTGTCTTCTACACTTTCAGAATTTAATAGCTTTTAGTAGCATTTGCGAAACAGATTTCTCACTCAAGAGTTTACCTCTTCTGGACATAGTATGGATGATATGATCATGCAACTCAATGATGTAGTCTGGAAGCAAAGAAAATTACAAATGAGTTGGCATATATTATTGCTTTTTTTCCTTCTCAATTTAAATACAATAAAATAAACATAGTAAAATATGGCAAAAGAGTAATGCAATACCAACAGGATCTAGTTTCATCAGCAGTGCTATATAATCATTTGTTTTGCTTTTTAAAGTCTTGTTTATGAAGAAAATGGTTGTAAGTATGTTGCTTTTCCATTGGAGCGTATAATCAGCATTAAAATACATGTTCCTAGCTTGGGCTAGAAATAAGTGATGGTGATGTTTAGATTTTCGGACGTTCCTCTGTGCCATTCAGCAGCAGTGTGTGTATGAAGAAGAAAGCTTCTATTCACAATATTAATATGAGAATTACAGATATAACTTCCTCTGATTTCCTTTTCATAATTCTTCATTTTGTTAAACAAATATCTAGCCCAACTATTAAAACAAAATGTCATTGTACCCTTATCACATTTAGCATTTAGGAATTATGACAAAAGGAAAAAACATGTTGATTTCATACAGTACTTATAAAAAGAACCTATATTTTCTTCTTAGGTTTTTGCTAATAAGTGAATTACAACCGCAACAGAAAATCAATTCTGGAGTGTCAAAGTAATGATTTTTCTAGCTGCTGTGCTATACATATGTGCACAGCGCACTGGTAGTAAGCGTGGGTAAAGCCCTTCCCAAATCTTCATTTGCGAAGTCAAGCCATGAGCTGATGATGATGACAATAACATGAACATTCAAGAAGACTGTTCGTTCTTCCCTAAATCCTGAGAATTTTCTTCCAATTTTTCAAGTTAGTAATGTAAAAAGTAAAAAGGTAAATTGATTTTTTTGGATTTTTTTTGGGGGCATAATTTTAACTTCATATTGTAATTTCTCTAATTAATATTAATGAAGCAAGTTTGCCTTGGGCTCTTAAGTATCTGCTTTGTTCAGCCCCAGAAAAGGATCACCTTGATGATGAGTGAAATAATGCTTTGGTAACATGAAGGGTTTTGTCATGACTTTGTAAGCTTCTTTACTCTGAGGAAGGTGAACTTATTAAATGGAGGGGATATACACTGCTGAATAGTAATGGGCTTATATTTGTTTGTAATGCTATCTCTAGGCAGTATTTTGTAGAAATTTCAGATGACTGTAGAGTTGCAATAGCTATATGACTTTGAGATGTTTTGCTTATTAATTAATTTTCTATTTTTAAAAAGCATCATATTTTTGGATAGTTGCTGGTCAGACCATAAATACATAATACTTTAATTAACAGATTTTTTTTCCCTAATAATTAATATTTTTCCTAACCATTTGCTTTTGAGCTTAGATATTAGATAGGGTGTATATATATATAGTGTTGATAGGTTATTTAGGGTTTACATGTGTATTTTGTTTTCGCAAAATCTTGTGTGAAAAAGATTTATAAACTTGTCTCTGTGGTAGAATTCCAGTAGCAAAACCTTGCAAAATGCAGCTTCTGCCCTACAAATACATAACAGCAGTTTCTTCTGGAAATCTCCATGATCTAGCATATTAGCACCAGGAATATGATTATGCTTTAAGCCAAATCTAATTTTTTACCATATCTTTATTTTGGTGCTGAATAATCTTAGAATATCTATTCTCTGAGCAAAATGTAATACTTCCAATGTATTATATTAAAATGTCAGTGGTTGCCCAATTGGATTCCCAAATACTGAGTCATGAGATACAATTATAAGTTAAGAACCTACTTATTCAAATCTGTCCTTAACACTGCAAGTGTCATAGTCTTACAAAACTTTGATCATTGTTTTTGTTCATGTAACTTTCATTTTAAAATGGACTCCATGCAAATGATAATTGCTTTAAAATATAAGTAAAATATTCATCTTCATATTCACAATCTGTATTTTCAGGAGGCCACATTACGGTGAAAGTTTGATGGAGAGGGACTATTGATTTCTGTTTCTGTTTTTTACTTTCTGGATAACTGACATATTGCAGTAAAACATATGTAGGGTCAATTCATGCTGACTAGTTATTAGAAACCATGATAACAAAAGTCATTACACTGCAGTTCAGTTTTGACAGTAAAATTTCTGCAACATTATCACAAATCCTCATGCATTAGTGCAATGATCCTTACTACAGTTTCATATTAGAATCAAAAGACTGCTGTAGCATGCTTGATACAAAAAGTCATGCAAGTCAAGTGAAGTTCTTTTATGCTTTTATAGATAACGTATTTTCATGTCTTTCTCATGCATGTATCTGACTCTGAGCCCTCTTGGATATTTCTGTCTTTAGTATATTGCTCTTCTGGGATATAGCTACTGCAAGAATAATGTCCCTGTCACGTAGAAAGATCAAATAGAATATAAAGTAAACCTGAACATAGTGTATGTCACTTTAAACAATTAATTCCTTCTGATTTTGTTGTTTCTATTCATTGACCTAAATGAAAAAAAATACTGTTCTCATATAAACAAAAAAATAATTTGTCTCTTAATTGTGTTTTTTGTTAGTCAGTTTGCTTACCTGAAGATGTTGGATTGCTTCTTGGCTCCATAAGAGCATACTGAAAGCATGGATAAGATTATGGCGTACCCCTGTCTCATTTCCTTACAAACCTTAAATGAAAAATAAAATTCAAGGATTCAGTGTTAAATAAATTAAAATTGTCATAGAATAAATATCAGAGTTTTTATCTGCTTCTAAATTAAATGCTTAACCAGCTTTCAGAACTGTTTTGATCAGGAATAAAAATGGATAATGGAACTAGCATTTATTTTTTGCTGGTATGACAAGACTAGATAATAGTTAGTAAGCAAAAATGGGTCATTTATAGTATTTTTAACTGAGCTTCTTTCTGCCTTTAGAGTTTTGACACTGCAGTAGTTTGACAGAATAACCAGCTTCATATGAAAACGTGGAAAAAAAATGTATCTTCAGTGAGCTTTTCATTATGCAAATTTGCTAGACTTTCTTTGAACTAATTATGTTTAAACAATGTAAACATCAAGTTAATGTTATAATTAAATTTGAATCAATAACTCAATAAGTTCAAATGACTCCATCAGAAAATTAATACAACAGGCAGACAAATCAAATTATTAGTTTGATAGCAAAAGGAAGTTATTGAGCTAATTTGTAGAGAAGTTGACCTCCTTTCCATGTGCACCAGCCATATCAGATGCTAGTCAAGTTACAGTTCTGTTTCATAGGACCACAGTTCTGCAGTTGCAGGACACAGTGAAGCCTATAGGACTTTAGTATTAATTAGATGTTACAGTCTCCCAGAAGGTGTCCCAATACAGGAAGTGAAATCTCTTTTGATTTGTTTTTGGTTTGGTGTTTTTTTTTTTTTGTTCATTTGGTTTTTGTTTTTTCTCTAAAAGAAATATAGAAATTTGCTAATTCATTTAGGCATTTATTTTTAAAATTGAGTGTTCTCTAATACCAGTGAAAAACTGCTTTTTTTTTCCTGTATAGTCATCACCTCAGTGCTACCTGTGATATTAT